TTTGGGATTTCTCGGGTTACTGTAGCCTCAAAAGTCCGCAAACACCGAATAGCGAATTTTGAGCTGAAAATTGGGAATTAGACTAATTCATGGGTCAGAAACACGAGTTTAATAGTGAAAATGAGCAAAAACGAGTTTTAACCAATTTTCGGAGGGTTTCGGGTTACTGTAGTTTCGAAAATTCGTAAAAGGTTGCACTTCAAACTCAGATTCTTCGAAAATAAACATTCGTTTTGGATTTACACAAAATTTGGGTTTAGATGCAGGAAACTAGAAGTTTCTAGCTCAATTTTAAATTTTTCGGGTTACTGTAGCTCCAAAAGTCCGCAAACACCGAATGAAGCCAAAACCTCTAGTTTTTGAGGTTCTAGACTAAAAAATTGATTTCCAGCTACTTTTTCATGTCAGGAACGCGTTGAAATGTGTCTGAACCCCGAAACCCCCCAAAATTTCTAGGTTACTGTAGCTCCAAAAGTACGCAAACACCGAATAACGAGTTACGTGCTGAAAATTGGGAATTAGACTAATTCAAGGGTCGGAAACACGAATTTAATAGTTAAAATGTACAAAAATGAGTCTGAAACAATTTATTCGCATTTTAACAAGTTATCCATAACAAAAAAAAATATCACAAAAAATTCAAAAAATTTTCAAATTTCCCGCCGTCGAATCGCTTTCTGGTATCCTTCGTTCACTTTCCGCACACAATACTCAATATTCGAAATTCGCTCCTCCTTTTTTGGTGATTTTTTTGGCGAGTTTTTCAAATTTGGCGCCAAATTTGAATTTTTCGCGAAAATCGATTTCCAGCTATTTCCAGACTCGATTTTCAGCAGACCGTAGCCCAGATTAAACTGATATCCAAATAAACAAAAAATTCCCAAAAAAATGCATAAAAACGAGAATGGGACCATCAGAAACGACGTGGCGATGGGGAGTTCGGCAATGAAGCGACCCATAAATTTTCCAGATGACTCTCCGAACTGAAAAATTAGATTTTGAAAATTTGAAACTTCAAAATTTGAATTTCGCGCAAAAATGGGTTTAGATGGCAAAAACTAGAACTTTCTAGCTCACTTTTGGATTTTTCGGGGTTACTGTAGCTCTAAAAGTCCGCAAACACCGAATGAGCTTGAAACCTCTCGTTTTGTTTCTAGAATTTGAATTTTTAGTTTCTAAACTAAAAAATTCGCTTTTAAGCTTATTTCTAATGTCAAAAACGCGTCAAAAGGTGTCTAAAATCCCGAAAATCCCGTTTTCCGGATTACTGTAGCTCCAAAAGTCCGCAAACACCGAGTATCGAATTTCGAGCTGAAAATTGGGTTTCCGACTAATTCTGGGGTGGGAAACACAAATTTAAAAATGAAAAAAAACCAAAAATGAGTTTTAAACCTTTTTTTTAAGTTTCTGGATTACTGAAGTTCCGAAAATCCGTAAACACTATGCTTGAAGCGCCTATTTTTGAGATAATGGCATCAAATTCGAATTTCTTGCAAAATGTGGCTCAAGATGCAAAAAACTCGAAGTTTCTAGCGTCATTTTGAAGTTTTTCGGCTTTTTTTCGGGTTACTGTAGAACTCTTTTTAAACAATTATTTTAAAAAATCCATTCTCACTTCTTTTCGTTCAAATACGTCATGAAATCAAATCAATTTTATTCTTATCAGTGTTGAAATTTCCCGTTTTCCTTGCTAACTCTTAAATTGTTTGTCTCTTCTCTTTTCAATTTTCTTTTTTTTTCAATTTCAAAAGACCTCATTTTCATCTTATCAATTCAAGAATTATCAGAAAACTGTGCACTAAAAACTTTTAGTTATTATTTTCTGAAATATCAATCTTTCTTCTTACATAAATCAAAATCGGAAAACTGAAACTTCAAAATGCATGATTTCTGATTTAAAAATTTACCTGTGATTCTCAAAAACTGTCTCAAAGTATCTAATTTTGAACTTTTTTTGAATAAGTTGTGCACAAAAATTGCTAATCACTGAATTTCTTATCACTCCCTTCCCCCACTTTTTGGTTACACAGTTCTCTTTCTACTTTCTACGTTTAACATTGATATTATCAGTTTCGCTCTTTTTCCTATATATTTTTTCTCAATTTTCAGCTTTTCCAGAAAACATTTTTTTCAGATGACTGAAAGAGAATTCACTCTGAAACATATATTCACTGATGTTGAGAAATTCGAGCAAAATCAATATCTCCGTAGTCCAGAAAAAGAAAATTTTGGTATCGGATGGTAGGTCTTATTGCTCATTTTTTAAATTATATTTGTATGTCAATTCAATTGCAGGAAAATAAGAATTAAAAAAAATAACGAACACCTCGCAATGGATTTATGCACAAATGTGACGGGAAATCAAGAAATTCACACTAATTATATCGTGAGAATATTCTCGAAAAACCGGGAAAAAAATCATTCAATGTCTGGGAGTAGTGTGTTTGAAATACGCGTCAACGCTTTTTCTTGGGGTTGGCCCAAATTCATTGAATGGAGAACTTTGGAAGATGAATATCTGGATGATGGAAAATTGGAAGTGGAAGTTCATGTGAAAATAAATAAAATGGTTGGCTTTTCGGAAGAATTTCCCAGAAAAGATTTAAGAAGTTTCGGAGAGGATATGAAACAATTCTCCGATGTCACATTGAAAGTAAAAGAGCGGAAATTCTATATTTCGAAGTTGGTGAGTCATTTTTTCAGTTTTTGATTTTCATCTATTCAACT